AATATACACAAAGGATCTGTTAATCAACATAAAATAATTCTTTAAACAGTAATAAAACCAGTGGTGAACAGAGGTGAACAAAGAAGGAAATGAAAGAAAAGAGTAGAGGATTGGAGAGAAAAAAATGTCTTATTTCACTCAACTCGTTAGGAGAATATTACAAGAAGTATTTATATGNAAATGAAAGAAAAGAGTAGAGGATTGGAGAGAAAAAAATGTCTTATTTCACTCAACTCGTTAGGAGAATATTACAAGAAGTATTTATATGCAAACTCACCGTCATTCTAGCATCACTTAAATCTAACTAACTCTAATTAAAATACTTCATAACTAATAACTAATTTTGTAACAAACTATAACAAACTAACAATAACAGCTGGCTCTCTGTTGTTGACATGTCTTATTTCTTCAGGCCCCCTCAAGATGGAAAGTGGATGTTTAACACACCCATCTTGCTAAGAAGAAGATGAAATTGTTGTATACCAAATGGCTTAGTGAATGCATCACTGAGCTGATGAGCAGAGGAGACATGAAGAGTCTTGACCACCCCTTGTTGAACCTTATCTCGGATGAAGTGACAGTCAAGTTCAATGTGTTTGGTACGCTCATGGAACACAGGATTAGCTGCAATGTGGAGTGCAGCCTTGTTGTCATAGAAAATCAAAGCAGGTTGAGGATGATAAATCTGGAAATCAGCTAGCAGAGCAAGTAACCAAGTTAATTCGCAGCAAGTAGAGGTCATAGATCTTTACTCTGCTTCAACAGAAGAACGAGACACAATTGTTTGTTTCTTGGACTTCCACGAGATTAGAGAAGGGCCAAGAAAAACACAAAAACCAGTGATGGATCTTCGGGTGTCTGAACAACCTGCCCAGTCTGCATCGCAAAAACTTTTGAGATTCAAGTCTGAAATGTTGGGGAAGAAGAGTCCTTGTGCTGGTGTAGATTTGAGATAACGCAGCACATGATGAACAACATCTAAGTGTGATTGTCTAGGCTTATCCATGAATTGACTCAAGATCTGAACTGCATAGGACAAGTCTGGTCTAGTGAAAGTTAAGTAGAGTAATCTGCCTACTAATCTGCGATAAGAAGAAGGTTCTGCCACCTCAGGGCCAGAATCTTTATTAAGTTTCAAATGTTGCTCCATGGGAGACTTTGCTAGACGAGCACCAAGAAAACCAGAATCCTGCAGAATTTCCAANTCTGCCTACTAATCTGCGATAAGAAGAAGGTTCTGCCACCTCAGGGCCAGAATCTTTATTAAGTTTCAAATGTTGCTCCATGGGAGACTTTGCTAGACGAGCACCAAGAAAACCAGAATCCTGAAGAATTTCCAATGCAAACTTTCTTTGACATATAGAAATCCCTTTTGAGGACCTTGCCACTTCAAGTCCTAAGAAGTATTTGAAAATGGCAAGATCCTTAATCTAAAATTGACTATGGAGAAAGACTTTAAGATCATCAGCAGCTGAAATGTTATCTGTAGCTATGATATATCATCCACATAAATCAGCATAGCTATGAAATAAGAATCAGTACTCTTAGTAAAAAGAGAATAGTCAGATTTGGACTGAGTAAACCCATGTCCAAGTATGGCTGCTGAAAGTTTAGAGAACTATTGTCTTGAAGCTTGTTTGAGCCCATAAAGGGACTTATTCAAACGACATACTTGATGATCCTTTGTTTTGGCATAACCAGGAGGAAGACTCATGTATACTTCCTCAGACAGATCACCACGAAGAAAAGCATTATGTACATCCATCTGGAATAGGTGCCAGTTTCTAGCAGTTGCAATAGCCAGAAGACACCTGATAGTAGTAGCTTTAGCAACAGGTGAGAAGGTTTCAAGATAATCTAGGCCTTCTCATTGAGTGTATCCCTTTGCCACAAGTCTAGCCTTGTATCTTTCAATAGTACCATCAGCTTTGTATTTGATTTTGTAAACCCATTTGCAGCCAATGGGAATTTTGTCCCGTGGCAATGAAGTGAGGGTCCAAGTATTGTTAGCCTCAAGGACTTGTATTTCAACTTTCATAGCATCACTCCATTCAGTGTGATGAATGGCTTCATGGAAAAACTGAGGCTCATAGTTAGATGAAATGGTGAGACTAAAAATACGATGTGAGTTGGACAAGTTATCATAAGATAGAAAATCAGAAATGTCATGTGCTTTACCCGACACAGAAGACAAACTGGATGGCTGTGAAGAGATAAGCTGGCAATGATAATCCTGCAAGTAACTAGGATGTCTCCTATTTCTAGTAAGCTGTCTAGTAGTATGAGGAATAGGAGTAGGAGAAGGAGAAAAGAAGAATTTTCAGAGGAGGAAGAAGTTTCAGTGGGAACACTATGAGTTTCAGTGGAAACACTATCAGAAGAAGTATCGACAACTGGAGTAGGTATCACTATGGAATCCTGAGAGAATTGAAGGTTGTTAGAAGAAAAAGGAAAAATGGACTCATAGAAGATGACATCTTGAGATAGGAAAACAGTCTTGGTAGTATGGCCATACATCTTATAACCCTTCACACCAGGGAAATACCCAATGAATATGCATTGACTAGCCCTGGAGTCAAATTTGGACCTGTTATGTGCAAGAGTAGCAGCATAACAAAGGCAACCAAAAACCTTGAGATGAGAATAATTGGGTTTTCGAGAAAACAAAATTTTATATGGAGATTTTCCTAAAAGATTTGGGGTTAGAATGCGATTGATCAAATAAGCAGCAGTCAATACAAAATCTCCCCNATATGGAGATTTTCCTGAAAGATTTGGGGTTGGAATGCGATTGATCAAATAAACATCAGTCAATACACAATCTCCCCAGAAAGAAGGAGGTAGTTGAGCTTGAAATCTAAGAGCTCTAGCTACTTTTAAGAGATGTTGATGCTTCCTTTCTACTACTCCATTTTGTTGGGGTGTTCCAACACAACTAAGTTGATGTATAATGCCTTGAGAGGAATAGAAAGATTTTATTGCAAATTCCAGTCCATTGTCTGTTCTTACAATCTTTACTTTAGTCTGAAATTGAGTCTCAACCAAAGCAAGAAATGAAACCAACAAAGATCGAGTCTCAAATTTGGATTTCATCAAATAAATCCAAGTACATTTGAAAATNACTCCATTTTGTTGGGGTGTTCCAACACAACTAAGTTGATGTATAATGCCTTGAGAGGAATAGAAAGATTTTATTGCAAATTCCAGTCCATTGTCTGTTCTTACAATCTTTACTTTAGTCTGAAATTGAGTCTCAACCAAAGCAAGAAATGAAACCAACAAAAATCGAGTCTCAAATTTGGATTTCATCAAATAAATCCAAGTACATTTGAAAATATCATCCACAATGGTTAGAAAATATTGAGAACCATCCAAGGATGGAATAGGAAATGGACCCCAAATATCACAATGTATGAGCTCAAAAAGAACAACTGAAACAGTATTACTAGCAGGGAATGAATTTCTATTTTGCTTTGCATAGTGACATATACTACAATGACTATCTTGAGAAGTAGTAATGTCAGAAAAATCCTTATGCAATAGTTCTAATCTTCGTGAAGACAAATGACCAAGTCTAAAATGCCATAAGTTGGAAGACACTTCTGTTTGGTGGTGAACTGATGAGACAGAGGAAGAAAATTGTTTATTTGGTTTCTGCAGAAAGATGTACAAACCATTTCTCTCTTAACCCATCCCAATCGTCTTCCATGTTTTGATAGGTCCTGGATGAAACAAAAACCAAGGAGAAACAGAAAACAACAAGAAGAATATTGTGTGAGTTTACTTGAAGAAACANAGGAGAAACAAGAAACAATAAGAAGAATGTTGTGTGAGTTTACTTGCAGAAATGAGGTTAAAACTAAAAGAGGGAACACAAAGTACATTAGTTAACACAATTGATTTAGAGAGTTTGACAGTACCAACATGACTGACTGACATGGTACTTCCATTAGGTAGTGTCACTGATGACTTAACTGTGGAAGTGATGGAATCAAGATGAGAAACTTAACACACAATGTGATCAGTTGCTCCTGTATCTATAATCCAAGAAATGGAATTTGCAAAATCAAAAGAATTGACCAAGGAAAGAGAGGGATGTTGAGGAATGGTTAAGGAGTGTGAAGATGCATTACCTGTCATGTTTAGTAATGACTGAGTATGAGAGCCCCTTATGTGATTTGCAAAAGACTGACAAGCAGTGTTAGATTGAGGTTTCAAAAGCGCTAACAGTTGCTGAATCTGATCATGTGTGATTGATAGTTGAGGATCTGGTTTTGCCTCGAATTTGTCTTCAACTATTGGATTCTCATTATCCATATGTCCACTGACTTGATTTGCCCCCTCTTGGATTATTCTTGCCTTTGTTGAAACGAAAGCCTAGAGGATATCCATGTAATTTGTAGCACTTATCAATAGTGTGCCCCAGAATACCACAATGTGAACAGGTTGGCCTGAATTTGTTGGAAATCTGCTTATTGCCACCTTGTTGCTGCTTATTTCCACCTTGTTGTGCAGAAAATGATCTACTTAAGAAAGCTGCAGATTCAACACTAGAAGGAATTGATGAGAACACATCTCTTTGCCTTTCTTCTTGAAGAACCAGAGAAAAAACTAAGGCAGTGGATCTTGGAGTAGTATCTGACTTCTGATGTGAGAGAATGAATCATTCAATCCCATTAGGAATTTAATGATGTAGTCTTCTTGTTGATACTCAATTAGAGTCTTCAAAGCTCCACAAGAACATGTAGGTAAAGGTCGATAGTTCATCAACTCATCCCAATAACCTTTAAGCTGAGTATAATATGAACTCACAGTAAGCTGATCTTGCATCAGAGATGAGATCAATTTCTGCAATTGGAAGATCTGTAGTCCATTTGTTTGAGAGAATCTTTCTTTGAGATCATCTCAAATCTCCTTAGTTGAATTCACATATAAAACACTCTTCGCAATGCNAGAGATGAGATCAATTTCTGCAATTGGAAGATCTGTAGTCCATTTGTTTGAGAGAATATTTCTTTGAGATCATCTCAAATCTCCTTAGTTGAATTCACATATAAAACACTCTTCGCAATGTCCTTCGACATAGTGTTTAAGATCCAAGAAATCACCATATTATTGCAGCGAACCCAAGGATTGAAGAGAGAATCTGTCTCTGATGGTTTACAAGCAGTTCCATCGATAAATCCTACTTTATTTTTAGCACTTAGTGCCATAAACATGGATCGATTCCAGGAATTGTAATTATCTTTTGTTAATGGTTGAGAAACCAGTAATGCACCAGACTGTCTCCATGGTGAAGAAAGAATGGATGAGAAGCATCTTCGATCTGTCTTGAGGAAGAAGATGCAGAATTCGAAGTTGTCTGTGTTTCGGCTGTTGCTGCCATTGATGAGGAGTAAACTTTGCAAAGTAAAGCTTTACGGAGGAAGCTTGATCTGCTCTGATACCATGATAAAACCAGTGGTGAACAGAGAAGGAAATGAAAGAAGAGAGTAGAGGATTGGAGAGAAAGAAATTTCTTATTTCACTCAACTCGTTAGGAGAATATTACAAGAAGTATTTATACACAAAATCACCGTCATTCTAGCATCACATAAATCTAACTAACTCTAATTAAAATACTTCATAACTAATAACTAATTTTGTAACAAACTATAGCAAACTAACAGTAACAGCTGGCTCTCTGTTGTTGACATGTCTTATTTCTGCAAACAGAGGTTAAGGTTTAATTATGTGCCTCATACCAGAGAAAGAGAGGTTCACAGGCTGAGAAGTCTGTTATAAACCCCAAATGAAAAATCTGCAAAAGCAAGACATAACGCCAAGAAGACTTCTTAAAGAGAAACTCTAATCCAAGGATATCTCTTGCTGAAATTACCCTCCAAACAATCTCTCATCGATCTAAGACCACTATTGGTACGATAACACACACTTCAATGTCAAGTGTATGAGTTCTTGAGATGAGCCCATGAATTTCATCAAAAGAAAAGGGAAAACAAGAAAAATCTTTTTAACAGCAAAGAGATAGATCTCTGATAAAATGTTTCAAAGATGAAGTATACAAAAACTACGACTATTGATTCTATCCCACAAGTACCCTGCCAACGTTACTTTCACAGTAATCAACACCAGCCACTTGATAGACCCTATAGAGTAAATGAAATATGGCCTCCCGCTCGAGGGAAGGGCAAGGGGAGATTAGATTACCTACTTTATTCTTTCCATGCCAACATTGCAATTTGCAAGGGTAAAACCCATCATGAGTCTAGTGCAACAGTGTTGACTGTAAAGAGAATTGGAAACCATACATGATTTTCAATAATTTGAATTCTATCCAATAAGTTCGGCGTGAAGATGAAGAGAGCAAAATACGTGTGGATGTGGAGGTTCACAAACTGATACCTAAAGCTAAAAATATGATAAATGACAAAGGACCCAATGATTTATAGTGTATACCAAGTTTCACATATCCAGCTTTTCCAGACTGTACGATGGTAGAGATTGTTCCAATTGACTATGGTACTGTGCATATGGAATATGTTTGACAAATAAATCAAGCCTGCCACAAATCATGGAAACAATTTTATATCTTCATGAACTTTCCCAAGTAGGTGCACTGGATAAAGTAGTGACTCAGACCCAGAAATAACAGGTTCAACTCCACCAGATTCATCCAAGTCATGTGGTTAGTGACTAATTATGTGCATAAATGGAAACTACAAGTTTTTTAAATGTTTATTTTCAAGTTATGTGCAGTTAATGTATGCTGGGTTCACAAGCACTTTCACAGCACAAAAGCGTGATTTGAAATCCATGGTGCTGCAATAATCAAAAATAGTATGGGACTGTAGAAGAGAACAAATTACAAGGTCAGGTTTATTAAAGGGAAGGTATAAGTGGGTATTATAAGAAGGGCAACTGAGGATGTGATGTACATTATTAATATCAAGATGAAAAACACAAAACTCAATATTGTCAGCCCACGACACACAATACCCAAGCCACTTACCAGTTGTAGAACCATGGATATACTCATATGGAGATGCTCCCAAATAGAAAGGTTATCTCCTGTCCATGTTGCAGCATACCGTTGGCTACCTATAAACCCAGCTCGAGCAAGAACAAATGGGCGCTTGTTTTCATTAGCTAATTTCATGCCTTCATAAGTTGATCTTGCCATCAGCATACCATAAACCTGAATTAAGCAAAACAGCACCATTAGTAGAAGTTCGGAAGCATACATATCCATTGAAACAAAGAAATATCTACATCAATACATGATACTTTACCCAAATTTTAGGATTGTAATGTAACATGAAAAGAAATAGAGTCAAAGAATAATATATTGTGATAATACCGTGAGTGATTCTGACAACCACCAAGTTCAAGATCTCCCCTATGAACATAACTGTCAGGCATCGTCTTTGTTACAACCTGGAAAGAAAAGCACTGAGGCAAAGAACCAGTGGAAGAATTTGTTGAGAAAAAAAGTTCTAGCTTCACCTTAAAGACAACTGGCTCATTCATATCATTCCATATACCATCCACACCATTAGCTATGATACCTTTAACAAGACCAGCCCACCACAGACGAGCTTTTGACTGTGTAAAGTCAGGGAAAACACAAGGCCCAGGCCACACCTCCCCTAGAAACAGAGGTAAAATTTAATAAATTCAATGTGTTAGAATTTGGCTTTAAATGTTGAAAAAAGAAAGAAATATACCAACAAAAGGCCTTCCATCTGCTGTTTGAATCCAAATGTCTCTTTCAGAACCACTATCATAAACAAAGTAACCCTCTTCACATTTGATCCTGGGGTCAAGCATCCAGATTGCTTTGAAACCAGTATGATGAAGATCTTTTACCAAAGATTGTGGATCCGGAAAGCGCTGCTTGGATAAATCAAAACATCATAAAGAGCCCTTTTCTCAATGATCCATGATTGGACTGTAAGCAAATCAAATGTGATACAACATAGTTCAGTTATAACATGGCTGATATCTCCATAAATTTAAAGCATACATAATAATGAATTGCATGGCACATGAACTACCATCATCCATGCCTACATGTCAAAGTTTGTCCACAGCTGAATAATAACCCTCCAAAACTATTATATGAGCCTTCTAGGCTTCTGCACTTATTACCAATTGGTTTTTAAGTTCAGAGAGTTTGGGCAAACCTCTATACCCATTTAATCGATTTGAGAATTGGTTTCTCATTTGTCCATGCCTTAAGTGCACTTTGTTATGTCTTCTAATTCTTCTGGCTACATACCCACTTGCCAATGAAGGTCATTTTAACGGCCAAGTTACTTATAAAGGTGAATAGTTTTGTTATTTGGGTTTTGATTACTATAAGAAAACAATGATCGACAATGATGTTCTCAAAGGATTAAAGTGTATTTTGTTTAGTGACATGCTTCTATCATAGTAGTTGATAATTTTATAAACGATCACAAGACCAGTCTTATTTGTGAGTCTGAATCTCTGGGTAACTAAGAAATAGCATGCTTATTAAAAAGAATATGTCAAATACAAATATTAAGATGGACATAATGCAAAATAAGAAATGGTAAAAATAAAAATCAACACATTTGTGGAGCAACATAAATAGCACCAATTGAAAATAAATGAGTCACCTTGAGTTGTGCGGTGAAGTCTAACATTTGCAATACTAAGAAAAATTATATAACCGTTATCAACAAATAAAGCTAGGGGTACATGAAGACCAAAACTAGCATCGATCAAGAAACATAGATTTGCCTATCATAGGTATGAATCCTTGATATTGCACTTTTGAGAAGATGCAAAATGACTTAACATGGCATAGTTTTTCCATAATATAGCAATAACAATATTTTATGTGCTTTATGGTTAAATAATAATCAAGATAACCCAGATAAGGATAAATTCTAAGTTTCTAACAGAATGTGTTAGTATTTCAAAAATTTCAACAAACTCTTTTCGGTAGTTGCGAAAGCAAAAACTGAGGTTATGGCAATCCAATATGAGTACAACTTGGGAAAAATACAGTAATATTTAGAGGGAGTAACATCGTCATCAGCGATTTTTTGAGAACCATCACATCCAAAAAAAAGGAGAAAAGACATGCCCAGAACAAGCTCTCTAGTCAACAATACAGCACAACCTCGAATTGCCACATTTCAGATCTAAATTAAGTATCCAGCACATGGAGGGGTTGAAGCACCCTCAACAGTTTAGCCAAGTTATTTTGAAACTATTCAGCCAACATGAAATTTGTGTCCTAGATTAAAATCACAATCTACATTAAGAAGTATATAAGAATAATGCAAACAAATCAAATTGTATCACCATGTCTAGGAAATGAGTAAATAGCACAAAGTTAATTACCAACGAATCAGCCGAAAAGGTTGTATATTTATCATGAATAAATATTTTATATTTCATAAGGATTATTGAGAAGAACATGCTTGGTCAAAAGTGAAACAACAAAAGTCATTCATGTAGTCAATATCCATCCATATGACATCACAAGGTATACCCTTCTCCTGAAATGTCCTGGCAATCTGCACATGTGAATGGGTAAACCCACAGAAAAACTAGAAGCATAATGTTCAAACGTTGAAGTGACTACAAAGGAAAACAATAGTCCTATTAGCTATTCAGCTTAAGCAAGAAAGAAACCCCAAAAAATCTTTTACTTAATAAAGAGTGAGGGACGAAGTTCACATATCATCTCAATCACAATGCAAGAAAAAGAAAAAGAAAGAAGGTAGGAAGGAACGAAAAGGTATAATGTTTGAATGGCAACTGAAAGAAGCGCATATGGACAAGAGCACAAGCATATATGATAGGTAAATAATTTTGCAGAAACAGCATGAATTTAGCATAACACAAAGGACCAACCTCACGAACTCGTGCATCAGAGTCATAGCTCCAACGACATTGATGATAACCCAGGGACCTCTTTGGGGACATATAAACAGTTCCTAGTCCAAAAAAGACAGTCATCCCATCAAACTACCAACAGAGATACACACACACACACACACACACATATATATAGAGAGAGAGAGAGCTCTATGGCAACATAAAAATATAGTAGAAGGCTAACATTAGAACTAGATCAAGTGTTTATCTATCGCAAATGAATATCTGCCCCGATATCTGCAAAGTTTCTAAATAATCGAATTCTGATACCGTCAAACACAACTTACACAATATCAAACATAAATCAGATTCATTTCCTTGCCTCTGATGTCCTTCACCTCTCTTTCTCTCCTTGATACAACAACACCTTGCAACTTTCTTAGAGTCCTTTCTCATTAGCCTCACTTAATTGCCTAGCCACCTTCATTTAGAGGTGCTAGACTAAAATCTGAATAGAACATCTGATGTTTTTTCGCCAAGTAAAATTCAACTGCACTTACCTCGTAATCTAATCCACAAATTCACCCCAACTTGAAGTTCATAAATTAATGTGATTCCACCATATAGTCTCTCTTTTATGCGTTTTTAGAATTTCTGTTTAGATATGTGTACTATAAATTTCATGAGCTTATACATCACACTGTCACTTCTAGAGAGCCAAAATTAAGTATAACAAGATGGATGCATTCAAAGTTCATAAGAGAAACGCACATACACAGAACTAACTGGATCATCGAGAGAAGAAAGCTCACAGGTAAAGGATCACCTCGGCCTTAACTGTAACCTCGAATGGCTTAGGCCCTTCAAAAAATAAAGGAAACTCGGACACTCCTTTCTCTTTATTCTCCGGTGAAGGGTAAGGATTCACACTGCACCAAGGCACAAACCTAACTGGATCGTCAAGCTCCAATGCAAACTCTCCTGTATCCAAAAAACCAACATAAAACAATTCATGTTTACCCAAAAAAAACCATATCCCCAAACATACATAGAAACGTGAATGAAGAGAAGACAACAAGGTAATGGACCTGAAAATAAATGTAATGGGCAGCTGGGTAGTCTCTATGAGCATCAGTGGACGGAAGAAGTAGAAAATACTTCCCTCCACAGCGTAGATATTCTCATAATGGTCCTTATGAAACGAAGTCTCCGATAAATGGTTTCCAATCCAAAGATTTACAGCCTCGGAAAGACACCCAATTGCCTCAGAAGCCCAAGGAATGTCTGATTCACAATCAGCAGCCAAAGAAGAGTACTCGGAACGGAAACATTCATTCTATTGCGGCAAGTAAGCCACGAACTTCGAGTGTTCATTGGAATTGTTTATAAACATGAGAGCTTCATCAAAAGGTGTAGATTGGACATGGGCAAAGGCGAAGCAGAGGGTTTAGGGGGTGGGGGGGTGAGGAAGTAGTCCCGACCGGTGGGGGTGAGGTTGATGAAGACGACTTTGGAGGAAAGTGTGTGGAGGAGGTAGGAGGTAGGAGGTGGAAGGCCATAAAGTGGTGGCTGGCCAGTGGTGGGTCGAGTTGGAAATGATGCAGGGTTTATGGGGGGAGATGTAGTCCTGGACGAATTGGAGTGGGGTTGGTGGCGCATGGAGGCGGTCTATGGTGGTGCCTCCTAGGCTCTGCTCCCTCAGGATTTGAATTTTTTCTTCCATATGGTANTTGGAAATGATGCAGGGTTTATGGGGGGAGATGTAGTCCTGGACGAATTGGAGTGGGGTTGGTGGCGCATGGAGGCGGTCTATGGTGGTGCCTCCTAGGCTCTGCTCCCTCAGGATTTGAATTTTTTCTTCCATATGGTAGGGTAAATAAAATAAGGGCAATGTCTGAACACCCCTAACATAAAAATTTTCGGTTTAATCGTAAATTATATCCCAAAAGATTGTTCAAATTTTAATTTGTACTCTTAAAAATTAAAAATCTCAATTTATACTCTTAAAGATAAAAATTTATATCAATGTGCACTCCCAAAGATCAAAAATTTCAATTTACACCCTCAAAAATAAAAATTTATATCAATGTACACCTAAAACTAGTCGCCATCAATTTACTGTTTAAAACTAAATTGATAAATTATACATAAATCCCCTTATACTTATCACTTAATCATTTGGACCCTTTACATTTAGAATATTACTCCTACATCTCATGACGTTTGTGCACGTGTAACATTTAACACTCTTTCGTTGACATCTGTTAATATAACCGTTAAAAATATGATTTTATCCTAATAAAAAATTATAATTTCATATTACCTTTTTACATTTAGAATATTACTCTTACATCTCATAACGTTTGTGCACGTATAACACGTAACCCCTTTTCGTTAATATCTGTTAATATAATCGTTAAAAATATGATTTTATCTTAATAAAAAATTATAATTTCATATTACCCTTTATTTTGTGGATTTGATATACTCTAAAGTTCAAAATCAAGCTTATCATTTAAATGTCTAATAGAATGTAGGTATTTATATAATATTTTTTATATTCCAATAATTCTGTTTAGGTATTTATAATTTTTTATTAGGATAAAATTATATTTTTTAACGGTTATATTAACAGATATCAACAAAAAATAGTTACGTGTTACACGTGCACAAACATTTATGAGATGTAAGAATATTATTCTAATTGTGAAGGGATCCAAATAATTATGTGATAAGAATGAGAGAATCTAAATATAATTTATCAATTTAGTTTTAGGCAGCAAACTGACAGTTGTTGGTTTTAGGTGCACATTAATACAAATTTCTATTTTTGATGGTGTAAATTGAGATTTTTTATCTTTGGGGATGCACATTGATACAATTTTTTATCTTTGAGGGTGTAAATTGAGATTTTTTATCTTTGGGTGCACATTGATACAAATTTTTATCTTTGAGGATGTAAATTGAGATTTTTGATATTTTAGGGTATAAATTGAGATTCAAATAATTTTTCGAGATACAATTTATAATTAACCCAAAATTTTCAATCTAAAATTAATTTTGATTGTGCACCTCTAATTTTTATTTTTGCTAATTTTTATTTTTTTTAAAAGGGGTCAACTCTAAATAATTTTAAAATTTTACCTAAATTCCAAAAAAAATTGAAATTATAGTGACCCCACCTAAATTCACCCCCTGTTCACAAATGGTTTGTGTTGGGTTAAATCCATAAACCTATAATTTGGATTACAGAATATAAAATTATTAGGCCTAATCCGTGTCTGAAGGCACGGTGCGATTCAAAAAATATCGAGTACTAAATTTAGGTATAAAATAATAAAGCATTGAACTCAGACTTGTACTTAAATTGAAAGTCTAAAGTGTCCTCATAATCTGTGCTTAAAATTTTGCGATTCAAAAAAAAAAAAAAACCTTACATTGTTTTTTAAAACAAAACAATCAAATACTTAAAATAGACACGCTAGAAATAAACAAATACTAAATATTAATCGTGAACACGAAATAATCAAAAATTAAACTTGGACGGACACTAATTTGAAAGCCTAAAATGCATCCTTTAATACATCCTCATTTTACATAAATGATTAACAAAGTATTACTTATATGAAAAATAAAAATTCTAATAATAAATAGCAACAACCACTTTTTTTTAAAAAAAATAGGACAAAACTCGAACTTGAAAAATAAAAATTCACACCTCAATGATATTATCATTCTAAAAATTTCAACCAATATTTCCTAAAACTTGTTATTAGAAATTTTCATTCAATCCTGAACAATGTCACATCAAAATTATGAATCTGAAAGAGATGTAAATGCTCAATTTCGACATAGAGAAGAAAGTCGTTCAGATTTCTATCCTCTCTTTGATGATTCTATATATGATGACTTCTTAATATAAAGTCAACAAGCAGAGTTTTGAAATACAACATGAAACTGATTTTTTTTTATCAATCTCAAAAAACAAATAACACAACTGATGGATGTGAATAAGTGATCAGTTTACTAACATCCATAATACTTGCCTCATCCCATTATGCCATTTTATTTATTTTTTTTGAACCTAGAACATGATTTCTTTCATTTAAGTAGGAAAATCTGAATTACAATCAGTAAGAAGAGAAGCCTTTAACTTGGGTGGAGGGCAGTGCATCCAACTCGGAGGAAGTGAGTTATTCATGACTGCAGCTGCAACCCTGTGAGTTGCCTTGTTATAAACTTTTGGCTTGTGTAAAAAACAAAATTCATGTAACCTAGCATAAGATATTTTATCATCAATGAAGGTGTTGATCTCCCATTGGGGGGGGGGGGATCCTCAGTTGAACTGAGTTTGATGATTTCCAAGTTATCACTTGCAATAGCAACATTCCTCATTCCTCTGGAGCTTGCAAACAAACACGTCTGACGTACTGCTGCTGCCTCTGAGAATTGGCTAGACAATGATGGAATATTCTTTGCTGAGCCATCTAAAAGGTGGCCTTCCTGATCCCTTAGAACAACATTGCATGCTGCTCTTTTGCTCTTAGGATTGAACGCTCCATTATAACAAAAAACAGCCTCACCTTTTGCTAGCTCTGGGGTGGTGGTTGAAGTGGAGACAACTATTGCTACCAATGATTGTCTTTTGTCAATCAACATGCTAAACTCATTCCATAGGCTTTGTGCACAAACCATTGCAGCAAAAGCGTTCGGTTCTTCGCCATCGAACACCCTTTGATTGCGCGCCTTCTAAATCGTCCATCTTACTATTGCAACCTTTCCCAGAACTTCAAGTGACTTGTGGTAATTATGGGCTGCTTCAAGAATAGTGGATGATCTTTGGGCAATTGATAGAAAAGATGTTGCATTTGGTCTGTAATCCATATCAATCCCAAACCAAACCCTTTTAGTCTTTTCGCATTCGAAGAGGATGTGCTCGATCAATTTTAGTGTTGATTGGCAGATTTGACACATCGTTTATGAGGCACATTTTCTTTTAAACAGATTCTCTTGGGTTGCAATGGCATTATTGCATGTTTTCCACCAAAAGTGTTTAATCTTGGAGGTTGCTCTTATACCCCATATAATCTGCCATAGCTTCGGGTGTGGGATAAAAGAGGAACTGGTTTCGGGTGACTGGGAGGTCAATTGTAAGGCCTCCCGCTATCCTGACTTGATGGTGTAATCCCCTTTACTGTTGGAGAGCCAAATCCTTCTATCTTTACCTCCAGTCGTAGGTAATGGAATTGCTAGAATAGCCTTTCTTTCCTGTGCTGTCACCGGGCTGGATAACAATTGAAAGTCCCACTCCTTTGTTACTTCTTTGATTAGTTCAGCCACGTGTGAGATGTTGTTCTGCTGTAATCTAGGAGTAGCAATAGAATTGTTCTGCATGTGGGGAATCCATTTGTCTTCCCAAATGCTCACATCCTTCCCATCTTTAATCTGCCATAATAGGCCTCTATCCAACAACTACCTCCCATAAAGAAGGTTGTTCCATATCCATGAAGGTTTAGCCCCCCTTTTTGCTTTCATAATATCCTCGTTTGGGAAATAGATAGCTTTCATGAATTTCACCCAAAATGCATTAGGGCATTGGATCATTCTCCAACATTGTTTAGCCAGAAGCGCTTGATTGAACAATTTAAATTCCTTAAAACCCATTCCTCTATTTTGTTTTTGCTTTAACCATTAAATCTCATTTTCTCCAAGGAATCCCCTTATTCTCGTCACCTCCTTTCCACCAAAATCTCCTTACATAGCTATTGAGTTTGTCACAAATTTTTTTTGGAAAGGCTAACACTGACATGGCGTAATTTGGGATTGCCTGGACAACCGCCTTAATCAAGGTTTTTTTTGCCTGCTTGTGTGAGACATAAAATTTTCCAGCCCTATAACTTCTTAAGCACTCACTCCAGCATGTAGTCAAACACCTCATTCTTGGAGCTCCCCAAGTAACAAGAAGACGCAAGTACTTGGCGTTATGAGGAAGGGTTTGCATTCCAAGCATGTCACAAAAGAAACTTTTCTGCTCCACTGTTGCGTTGGATAAGAAGATTATACCTGATTTTTTATTATTAGCACTTTGTCCTGAGGCTTTGCAGTAACTATCCAAGATCTTCAATAGGTTGGCAACACCTTGCTCCTTTGCTTTGACGAAAAAAAGAGAACCATCTGCAAAAAATAGATGAGAGATAATAGGGTTCTTCCTCTTCACTTTAATTCCCGTGAACTTCTTATCTTCAATACCTTTTTGCAGCATCATTGAGAGGACCTCAACCACCAGGATGAACAGGTATGGCGAGATGGGGTCACCCTGTCTTAGCCCCCTTTGT